ATAATCTGTTAGGTCTTTGTCCCAGGTTCCTAGGACAGAGTTTCTAAACCCTTGGATTTTCTCAAATGATAGGAGTGTCTTTGTTTTTCATGGTGGGCTCTTGGAACCATGCCCGAATTTATACTAATGAGGTGACTCATGGTTGGCTCCTAGATAATTTCATGAACGGGGGCTTGCCATACCAGAAAGACCAACCATGTGATAAAAGGTTGAGGCTTTCAGCCAGGTGCTATCAACCTGACTTCCAAGGAAGAGAAGGAGCGTGGAGATTGAATTCTGTCATGTGGTCAGTGATTCAATCAATCATGCTTACATAATGAAACCCAATAAAAACTCTGGACACTGATGCTCAATTGAGCTTCCTTGGTTAATGATACAGTTATGTGCTTGGAGAGTGACTGTGTCCTGAGGACACAAACTCCATGGTTGGGGTCTTGTATCTGGCTGGGCCTAATTTGTACATAATAGAATGGTAATTATAATAGAATGGTAATTATAGCATCTTCCTCAGTTTTGTGGGTTGTTTGGGCACATTGTTCAAGCAGAAAGGGTATTGGAAACCCCAAATGTATATCCAGTGGTCAGAAGTGTGGGTGGCCTAGAAACCCTGGTGTTACAACTAGTGTCTGAGGTGAGAGGAGTCTTGTGGAGGACTGTGCCCTTAACCTGTGAAATCTGTACTAACTATGAATAGTGCTGGATTTGCATTGCAAGAGAACAGAAAAATTATTTGAAGAGATAATGGCCCAAATTTTTCTATTCTTAGTAAAAACTATAAAGTCACAAACCTAAGATGCTCTACAAACCCAAAGCAGAAGAAACAAAACTATACTAAGGCACATCACAAAAAAATGGTTCAAAACCAGTAATAATGTCTGAATAACAGCCAGAGAAAATAGTCGCATTTCATAGAGCGAAGACAAAGATGACAGCAGATTTCATGTTGGAAACAGTCCAAGCCAGAAGCCAGTGGAGCAACATCTTTAAAGTACTGAAAGACAAGAACTCTCAACCTAGAAAGTTCTAGGTTGAGATATTTTCACCCAGTGAAAATATCTTTCAAAAATGAAAGTGAATTAAAGATTTTTTTTTTGGACACAGAAAAGCCGAAAGAATTCATCACCAGCAGAAATGCACTACAAGAAATGTTTTCTTTTTTTTTTTTTTAAGTTGTCTAACAAGGAAGAAAATAATATCAGATGGAAATACAAATTTCTGTAAAGAGATGAAAAGCTCCAGAAATGGTAACTACATAGATAAATATATGTGATCTTTTTATTATTTAAATCTCTTTAGAAGACAGCTCTGTAAACAAAATATCAACAGTGTATTTTGGTGTTTATAACATGTTTAAGTACAATTTGACAACAATAGCATAAAGGCTGAGAGAAAAGAAATGAAAGTACTGTACTATTTTTTGGTTCACATATAATCCATAAGGTAGTATAACATCACTGGAAAGTAGATTATAGTAAGTTAGAGATGTGTGCTGTAACCTCTGATGCAGCTACTAAAATAACAAAAAGTTATAGCCAATAAGTCAAAAAAAAATAAAATGGAAGAATCATAAAAAAATATTCAGTTAACCCAAAAGGAGGCAAAAAAGGAAAGTATAAAAAAGGAATAGAGAATGGACTGGACAAATAGCAAGATGATAGACTTAAACTTAACCATATCGATATTCACATTAAATCTAAATAGTACGAATACCCCCAAAAGGCAAAGATTAGACAAACAGGCCCAAATATGTGTTGTCTGAAAGAAATGTACTTTAATTTTAAAGACAAAGATAGGTTAAAAGGAAAAGGAGAGAAAAAGATATACCATGCTAACAGTAATCAAAAGAAAGCTCTTACAAATAAATGGAAAGATAGCTCATGTTCATAGATTGAAAGGCTATTGTAAATGGCCGTACTACCCAGAGCAATCTACAGATCAGTGTAATCTCTATCAAAATCCCAATGGTCCCCTTCCCCAGATCCCTGGCAACCACTGTTCTTTTCTCAGCTTCTAAGAGTTTGACTGTTTCAGGTATAAGTGTAATCATGGAGATACTCGGTCAATATAAAGTTTCAGTTATGCAAGATAAATAAGTTCTAGCAATCTGCTGTATAGCAGTGCCTATAGTTAAAAATACTGTATTGCGCAGTTAAAATTTTGTTAAAAGAGTAGATCTCATGTTAAATATTCTTACAAAAAAAAAGCACAGGGAAACTTTTGGAGGTGATGGATGTATTTGTTACCTTGATTGTGGTGATGGTTTCCTGGGTGTATGCATATATTCAAACTCATCAAATTAAATATGTACAATTTTTTATATATCAGTTAAACCTCAACAAAGTTGTTTAAAGATACCAGTGACATTTTTTGCACAAATAGATAAAACAATGCTAAAATTCATGTGGAATTGCAAGGCCCTGGAATAGCCAAAACAATCCTGAGAAAGGAGAACAAAACTAGAAGCCTCACACTTTCGGACTTTAAAACATACTACAAAGCTACAGCAACAAAAGAATATACTACTGGCATAAAGGCAGATATATAGACCAGTGGAACAGAATAGAGAGCCCATATAGTCAAATGATCTTCAACATAGGTGCCACAAGTACACCATGAGTAAAGGATGGTCTCTTCAAAACATGGTGTTGAGAGAATTGGATACCTGCGTGCAAAAAATAGGTTATACCCTTATCTTACACCATATACCAAAATTAACTCAAAATGGATAAAGACCTAAACATAAGACCTGAAACTATAAAACTAGAAGAACGCATAGGGGAAAAGCTCATGACGTTGGATTTGGCAGTGATTTCATGGATATGGTACCAGAAGCACAGGTAACAAAAGCAAAATTAGGCAAATGAGACTACATCAAACTTAAAAACTTCTGCACAGCAAAGAAAACAGTCAACACAGTGAAAGGCAGCCTACAGAATGGAAAAAATATTTGCAAACATATCTGATCAGGGGTAAATATCCAGAATATATAAAGAACTCCTATGATTCAATAAGAACAAAAAACAAATAACCTGATTTTATTTTTTAGTCATAGATTTTTTAAATTTTATTAAGTTTTATTGGTGTGAAATTGGTTAATAAAATTAGAGCGGTTTCAAGTGTACATTTCTATAATACATCATCTGCATATTGCATTGTGTGTTCACACAAAGTCAAGTTTCCTTCTGTCACCATATATTTGAGCCCCTTTACCCTTCTCTACCTCTCTCTACTATTTCCCTTTCCCTCTGGTAACCACCATACTGTTGTCTGTGTCTGAGTTTTTGTTTGTTTGTCTTGTTTGTTCGTTTGTTGCTTTCAGTTTTATATCCTACATGTGAGTGAAATCATATGGTTCTTGACTTTTTCCATGACTTTTGCTTAGCATAATATTCTCAAGATCCATCCATGTTGTCGCAAATGGCAGTATTTCATCTTTTTTATGGCTGAGTAGTATTTTGTTGTGTATATGTACCATATCTTTTTTATCCAGTCATCTATCAAAGGATACTCCAGTTGTTTCCATGTCTTGGCCACCATGAATATCGCTACAGTGAACTTAGGGGTACATATGTCTTTACAAATAACTATTTTCAAGTTTTTTGGTAGATATCCAGAAGGATTGCTGGGTCATATGGTAACTCTGTTCTTAATTATTTGAGGAACCTCCATACTGTTTTCCATAGTGGCTGTACCAGTTTACATTCCCAGCAGCAATGTATGAGGGTTCCTTTTTCTCCACAATCTCTCCAACACTTGTTACTACTTGTCTTGTTAATAATAAACATTCTGTAACAGGTGTGAAGTGGTAGTTCATTGTGGTTTTGATTTGCATTTCCCTTATAGCTAATGAAGTTGAGTATATTTTCATTTATCTGTTAGCCATTTGTATGTCTTCTTGGGAAAAGTGTCTGTTCAGGTCATTTGCCCATTTTTTTAATTGGATTGTTTTTTGTTGAGTTGTATGAGTTATTTATATATTTTAAATATTGACCCCTTATCGGAGGTGTTTGCGAATATCTTCTCCCATGGACAATAACTTTTTAAAATTGGCAAAGGACTTGAAAACATATTTCTTCAAAAAAGATAAAATGTCTAACAAGCATATGAAAAGATGTTCAGCATCACTAATGAGACACCACCTCACACCCATTAGGATGGCTGTTATTTTAAAAAAAAAAAAAAAGTATTGGTGAGGATGTAGAGAAATTGGAACACTTATGCCCTGTTGGTGGGAATGAAAATGGTACAGCCATTCTGAAAAATAGTTCATTGCAGCATTATTCACAATAGCCAGGAAATGGAAGCAACCTAAATATCCATCACTAGGTGAATGAATAAAGAAAATGTGATATATACTTACAATGAAATATTATTTAGCCTTTTTTAAAAAAAAAAATTGCATGTGACATGTATAGACCTTCAGGACATATGCTGGATAACTAAGCTAGTCAAAAAACACAGATACTGTGTGATTTCACTTATATGAGGTATCTAAAGTAATCAAATTCACAGAGATAGAAAGAAGAATGGTGATTGCTAGGGGTTAGGGGGAGGGGGTAGGGAGTTGTTTGGTGGGTGTAGTTTCAGTCATGCAGGATTGGGGAGGGGAGTCTGGGGATCTGTTGTACAACAATGTACAAGTGATTGATAGTATTGTACTGTACACTTGGAAATTGGGAGAATGAATTTTATGTTACTTGGGAGGTTTTGCCACACACACAAAAAAAATCTAGGTAGCTATATTAATATCCAAGTCATTTTTAGAGGAAAAAATATTGCTAGAGAATAATAAAAGGATCAGTTCAGGACATACCAATTCTAAATGTTTATGAACTTAATAACAGAACTTCAAAATGCATTGTTCAGAGGAAATTAAAGTAACATTCTACAGTAGCAAGTTTGCTCAACTGGCAACTTATTCTACAGGAAGGAAAAATTCTGTAGACATTTTAGTGGGGTTTTTGTATGTTTAATTTAATTTTGATTTTGTTCTTTTTCAGGATGTGGTGGATACACACCCTGGCCTCACGTTCCTGAAAGATGCTCCAGAATTCCACTCCCGCTACATCACCACGGTAGGCCAAGTTCTCTTTTATTCTTAATGTAACTCCATAAGTCTCTTCATCACTATCAAGTACCCAGGCTTTCAGATCTTTATGCAAAAGGTAACTTGGGCTATACTGATTTTCTTAAGTAGGAGGAAGGTGAAGTAAAGTTGAATTTATTATTTATACCTATTTCCCTTCTTATATGTACCCAATGCTTAAGAGGAAATTAAAGTAACATACTCATTCTTTCCAGTCTTAGGAAGTATGCCTTTTGCTGTCATAAATATTGATACCCAGTTGACCTTTAGCATTTGCAAATAATACCGAAAAGAATTTTCAACAACCTTTCCCAGAAAAAGATGTGTCTATAGTACTTCATTGGAAATGATAATAAGAGATAGCTTTCGTGTAATCAGAAACAAATCATGTAAGAATTTAAGATAACATGATCACAATCTCCTATTCTGCGAGGTGTTCTCTTATGCCGTTTGTCATATACAGCCTCATTTGATCAGTCACAGGCATGAATTATGAGTGAGAACTCACAGGCCTGCAGTGCACACTGCAGCCAGGTTAATTCTCTGTTTGGAGGAATTCCAAAGGTGAGCCCCAAGCACACCTCACATTCACAGCCACACTCAAGTGTGATGGCTCTTGCCTCTGACTCAGATCCCCCAGTAAATCGGGCAGTCTCCTCTGAGGAAGACCCTGTCATTCTTAGGGTACTTTTTGTTGGCCATGGATTTGTTGGGTTCTGCTAAGTTACAGAATATTATCATTTTTTCTTCTCTGTAGGAACTTCATTCTTTACTTTTAGATTGGTCCCCTTGTATCATAAAACTTTGTAAGACTTTATTTGAGCCAGAAGGTGTCACTGTCATCTAAGACTATCTCAGAAGGTTTTTTTGCCTTTTAACTACAGTATACTAAATCACTTCCGCCACAGTCACCCAGGCCCAGTCACCTTGTTTCTCACTTGGATTACTTCTATTGGCCTTTCTCCTTATACCCTCATTGCCCCACAGTCCAGTCTCCACAAGGCAGAGTTATCCTTTGAAAATGTAAGTCAGACACAACACTCCTCTTATCACACCCTGGAGTGGTTTCCCATTTCACTCAGAATAAAAGCCAAAAGTCCCTGCCAAGACTCTCCTTAATGCGCCCCGCGCCCCCGCCCCGCCCCAACACCCTCACATCCCCTGCTTTCTGATCTTATCTCCTACCTCCCTACGCCTTGCTTACTCTGTTTCAGCCATAATGGCTTTCTCGCTGTTCCTGAAACAGCCCAAAGCCAACTTCTGCCTTAGGTACATCGTTCTTACTCTTTCTTCTGCCTAAAACATTCTTCCTACAGATTTCCACATGACTCACTTCCTCACTTCATCCAGATGTGTGCTCAGATATTTTTTTATCGAGGCCTTCCCTGATCACTCTCTGCCTTCTTCAGCTTTCTTCTCCCTCTGCCTCCTCCCCCTACACTCTCTACTCCTTTGTTCTGCATTATTTTTCTTCTCAGCTCTTATATTATCTGATATGTAAAATTTTTGTTTGCTTATTGTCTATCTCCTTCTCTATAATATAAACTACATTAGAGCAGAGACTTTGTCTATATTGTTCACTGCTGTATCTCCAATACCTAGAATAGTGCCTAGCACATAACAGAGACACAGTAAATATTTACGGAATGAATAAGCGAAATTATTCATGCTTAAGAATTCTGCTCATTAACTCTGGCTTCAATACCAAACAGAATTATTGGGTTCTGATTGCTGACTGTTCTATAAATTCAGGACATAATAATAGCATAGTTTAGAATCTTAAGAGTTGGATAGGATCTTAGAAATAATCTAATACAACTTTCTACCAATTCAGAAAATACTCTCTACAGAGGAACTTTTTATTGAAATTTATTCTTAAGAAAGATGTTAAAGAATGGAATTGTAAAATAGAGATAAATTTTCTTTCTCTGTACTTTCTAGTTTGGCATTTAATTATGATGGTCTGTGGTCATCTAGCAAGTGGTCCCCAGGAAGTTTTGATGTCAAAGTGAAAAGCCATGAAACAGTTTTATTCACATATAATTCACATTTTCTGAGAAATTCTATTTATGTTAACTGTTGAACAGAAAGAACTACATTGGTCAATTAACAAGATACAATTAATTATCTCTGCAGACATTTTTATGGCATTCGCATTTATTATTTACATTTTTTAAATTTATATTTTAATAGTATTATGCTGCTTTATCCCCAGTTTACAAAAATGAACCCATTACGCAGGTAGTCATTAAAGTGTAAACTGCTTGTGGTGAAATAATGATAAAAGAGCAAATCAAAACAGCATCATAACATAAATAGTAAACAAGACCCTATTGAGAATATAGAAGGTGAATATGTATGTACTAAGTGTATCTGCTATTGTGATAATTTCATACTACCATCTAAAAAAGAGAAGTGTAAATAAAAAGTATCACAGTGAATATCTGGAAACAGAATTTTATTGGACTGGTTGGTTATCTATTCTTCCCCATGCCTTTTCAATCATGAAATTTGGTCAAACAATGGCATGAAGTCATTGAAACATTTTTATTATTTCACAATACAGTTAGTTGTTCCAGAACAAATACAAAATAAGATTTCTAGTGTGAAATTAATTACTTCCGTTGTTAAAGGCATAGAAGTGGCCAAATTAGGCATAATTTTCTACTCTGCTTATGGCAGAGACAAATAAGATCACACTATTTCCAATTTACTTACAAAGATCAGCCTCAGAGTTAATAAAAAATATCTCAGAAAAAGCAAAATTAATTTATCATATGATCCTATTGAATGTTACATACATTCAGTGGCATACATTGTAGAACAATTAATATTTTTGTTTGCATGCTAGAGTTATTCAGTTACTCTACCGTTGGAAGAAACTGCCAACACAATATTACTCAAATATTAGCTTATGTGAGGCACATATATGATGAAGAAAAGTTGGGGAACCTTTGTTTTCTATTTATCACTGAAAACCTATGCTAAAGAAAATGACTTTTTGTTTGTTTAATTAATTCATCAGCTATTTTTAGACTGGAAAACAGAGCACCAACTAGGCATACAGCAAATAAGGACATCACTACTCAAATAAGAGATTGCATCTAAAGTTATTTATTTCCAGAGAAGAATTGACAATTGAGAAATAAACCTCTTGATATCGAATGAAAATGAAAATTGGAAATACCAGAAAATTGTAACCGTTGAGTTTGCAGTTTTACATGCCATGCAAAGAAATTGCCAGTGAATAAAAGACTATGCTTATCCTAACTGACATGTGCTGACTTTTGAGAGAAGAGGTGCTCACATGAGTTTTTAAAATAAGTAATGAGACTGAAAATATTTCTTTATAAACATTGGTGCTGATAGGAAAGATATTTCTGTGGCTTGCTCAGATGGTGTCTTAGTGATGTATTAAGTGTCTTGATTTGCCTGAATCCATACTTCAGGCTGAAATTCCAATATTTTAATTGTTGAGGACAAGGTACTGATATTTCTTGAGATGACTCAATTGTGGAGCTCATCACTAACAGCTTCTTATCTCTTTTTCCTTTATTACTTTTCCTCTTAACAAAGAAGAGGATTTTACTAGATAGATTTCTTTTCAAAGTCCAAATTCTGCAAAAGACCATGAGGAAATACTCTTCAGAGCTATATTAGCCAGAGCGGATCAGGAATCCATTCACCACTTCCTGTTTTTTTTAGCCCATGCTTCAAGTGTGTTCATGTGTATTCAAGTCATCTACAGTGAGCAATCTCTCTGTAATTTCTCTGTCTGCATTCAGTCCACTTGTCAGAAACTATCTGGGAGATCCAGCAAACACTTACTTCCATTCCTGGTGACCTGTAATTGTGAATTAGAGGTTTCCAATTCAATAGATATAAAGATAAAGAAAGGAAACTGACTTATGATTCAAATTGTCTTATCAGGTTGACTAGGGATCCCTTGGTGAAAATTGTTAAATTCCTCTCACTGGCAGTAAAAATTTATTATTATTATTGATTTTTAAATTTTGTTCTATAGTTCTATATTTTTTAATAGGCTTTTTTGCTTTTCTTTTTTCTTTTTTTTTTTTTTTTAACCTAAAAATGGTAGACCAAAGTTACAGGGAAAATTATAATGTAGAACCAGCAGCTACATGTTGTCACCACTAGATGGTGACCCTACCTCGGTAAGTTAAAATGCTGAATCAGTAATGTGGAAATCAATAAATGTGCTGATGACGTGGGGCCACTAAATAACATTTAGACTATGGAAAAATGGAATACAGGTACTTTTTAAATAGTATTAGATAAGGAGGTTAGCAGAAGTTAAAATACTAGGAAATGCTTAACCGTCAAACATTTGCAAATTTAAAACATTCTATCAAAAAATAAACAAGAAAATAAAATAAGCAAAAATACAGATTAAAGTTTTATAATTTTCAATGTGACACAGTACCTTCATAAGTAATATAAAATTTTGAGGATTATATAAATATAAAATTTAGATAAAAATTTGGATAAATTTATATCTAAAATCAAAAAATAAGGATAAAAATCTAATAATGTTCAACAAAGAAAAATCTGATATAATACGTATTGAAATTGACCATAACTTGAGAAAGGAGACATGGAACTGTGATAAATGATACTCTTAATGTCTAATTTCATATATATGTCATTTCCATGCTAAAAATCCTCCAGCTTTTTTATATGAACTTTTGCCAAGCTAGTGCTAAGAATAGTGTTGAGTAAGACATATTCTCTTCCTTGAAACACTTCAGCCAGAGTCTGAGTGATTGGGGTCAGTAGAGAAATTAGACACCAGGTATTCCCAACTCCCACCTAATGCAGAAATCTGACAACTTCTGCTTAAATAACTGTGGTGAGAAGAAGCCTCACTTGTTCATATAACCCATTGCTTCGTAGAGCTAATTTTAGGAAACTCGTCCTTATATTGAAACATTTCAGTATAAAGGCATTTCTATCCAATAGATCTAGCTCTGT